CCACCATCTGTCCACACTTCTCGTATAGTTAAATTTCTGCACTGGCTTTATTTTTTACATCCACAATATATAGTTCACACCTTGGGCCTTATCTTTTGCTGATGACTGTGCAGTCTGTCTTCTTATAGCCAATAGTCTTTTCTTCTTGCTTTCTTTTACTATCAGGTCATCCCATAAGTTCTGTCTGAATTTTGAATAAAGAAAACAAGTGACCAAATGTTACATTTAATTACAGATTCAATCAACAATGTATTTCCCCTGATTATCTATGACTTCCTTCCATCTATTAACAAGCTTACTAATTCCATTACTGTAAAATTCTTTTGGCTTTGATTCGAAGAACTCACAAATGTCAGTTTTAACCTCTTCCTGTGTGTTACAAAAGCTGTTTCTTCCAAATGATTCTGTAAGCTACGAAACAAATAGTAGTCTGAAGTAGCAAGATCGGGAGAATAAGGTAGATGAGGAATTTCTCCCAACCAAGTTCTTCGATCTTTGTGACGTGATACTTGCTGTGTGGGGTCGCGCATTGTCCTGATGAAACATCACCTCTTTTCGATTCACTAGAGCACTTTTTTCCTCAAAGCTTGGTTCAAACGCTCTAATTGCTGACAGTATATTTGAGCATTAATTGTTGCATTAGGTGGTATTAATTCAAAGTGGATTATTCCTTGGCGATCCCACCAGATTGAAAGAAGAACCTTTTGCCTATGCAGTTCCCTTCTCGGCTGTGGCTGGGGTCCTTCCCCTTTACCAAGCCACTGTCTATGATGCTTAACATTTCGATAAAAGATCCATTTTTCGTCACAAGTCAATCTAAAAAAGGTGAAACAAGTTGGCGAGAATGGAGAGAAGAGCAGATGTCAACTTGGGATTTGAGGTTGTTTTCAGACAATTCATGAGGCACCCATTTTCCAAGTTTAGGAACTTTTCCAAGTTGTTGAAGATGACGATGAACAGTTGTATGGTTTGAACTGAGAACCACTGCCAATTCCTCAACTGATAAAGCAGGATTTTCTTCAAGGGCTGCTTCAAGAAGCTTTTCATCAAACTCAACTGGACGTCTGGTTCGATCTTCATCTTCAAGAGTGAAATCTCCACCTCTGAATTTTGCAAACCATCTTCTGCAAGTTCTTTCATTCACACATTCCTCTCCGTAAACTGAGTGAATATTTCTAGCCACTTTGGCTGCTGAGTTTCCTTTCTTGAACTCATAAAGCATTATGTGCCTTAAATGATTCTTTGGTACTTCCATGTTAGCAGGGTTTTAATCAAACAAAATTTAATTTTATTGTTCTCTGAAATAAAATTTGATCAGTTTAAATGCATCTAAACATAAAAATAATGTTCAGCTCCATTTGACATTATAAAATACTCTTTAAATTTTGTTCACTTTAACAAAAAGTTAAAATTCGGACAGAACTTATGGGATGACCTGATACTTTTTGAGTTTGCCAGTGTCATCTGCATGTCTTTTGTTAAGATTATGTTCACTGATAAGTGTTGAAAAGTGTTTTGTACCCAAAATCTAGATGGATGCTTTTTGTATCTTATATATATATATATATATATATATATATATATATATATATATATATGTATATGTAGATTATAAATTGTTAATTGTGTGGCTGTCTCCTAAAGATAATTTATTATTATTATTAAGGTGAAATTATTTGAACAGCTTTTCAGGAATAATGATAAACCTGTTTGAAATTAAAATATCCCACAACCTCAGATAGATATGCTTGATCTTTCGTGATATTTCTTGGGGAAATATGGGTGACTTGGCAGTGCCTATCTCCTCTCCAAGTAACATGCAAGTGGGTTACATGATACCAGCAGCATGGAGTGCCTGACCTATTGAGAGAGAGGTGAATTTATTCCTTTCTCAAGAGCATTAGAATTTAGTGAATAAAAACTACCTCAGGTGAAACTTGCACTCTCTTTGCCAATTTCTATTTTTTGGTGCTCTTAACCATTAAGTCAAAAAACACCTTCAGAAACCTGTGTGGTGATTTTTATCACCTAGGTTTTGTCAACTGTTTCAAGAATACAAGGATGAATGTGTTGGTAATTGGACATGGAGTTATTACATGACTTTTTGTTGGTTCCAGTTGGTATGGGAATGACTGCAACAACATCTCCCTACCCAAATTTATATATTAGGTTGGTGCAAAAATAATGTCGTTTTTTTGACGTTCAACTTCAAAAGATCATAACTCCTTTCATAATAAACTTTATTAATCGAAATAAGAACCATTAGAATCGACACATTTTTGCCAACAAGAAACAAGTTTATTTATCCCATTAGCATAGAACCGGAGTTCTGGAAGCGATGAAGTCATTGAAGGCCGATTCGCATCATCTCGGCTTTTGAAGCATTTTTCACGAGGAAGTTGTCGAGATGCTTGAAAAAGTGATAATCGGTGGGCGAGAGGTCCGGTGAATATGGCGGATGAGGCAGAGTCTCGTAGCCCAATTCATTCAGCTTCTGCAGGGTCAGTTGAGCGACATGCGGGCGAGCGTTGTCATGGAAGAGAATTGGTCCCTTCATATTGACCAATCTCGGGCACATATGTTGGAGCTTCTGGTGCATTTTGTCAATTTGTCGGCAGTACTTCTCCGCTGTAATCGTTTCGCCCGGATTCAAGAAGCTGTGATGGATGAGACCGGCCGCAGACCACCAAACAGTCGCCATAACCTTTTTTTGGTGCAATTTCGGATTCGGGAAGTGTTGTGGAGCTTCTCCGGCATCCAACCACTGTGCCGAATGTCGCTAGTTGCCGTAGAGGATCCACTTCTCATCACACGTCACAATCTGCTCGAGAAATGGGTCGTTTTTGTTGCGCAGAAGGAGCGTAGAAGACACCTCAAAACGACGATTTTTTTGATTATCGTTCAATTCATGCGGTACCCATTTATCCAACTTTTTTGACTTCCCTATTTGCTTTAAATGGCGAACGACTGTTGAGTGGTCGACCTTGAGTTCAACAGCAACTTCTCGTGTGGTTTTGCGAGGATCGGCTTCAATTAAGGCTTTCAAATGTTCGTTATCAACCGCAGTCAGCCGGTCGCGACCGTCTTCATCTTCGAGGCTCTCATCACCATTGCGAAATTTCTTGAACTACCGTTGTGCCACATGTTCGTTAGTGGTTCTTGGGCCAAACACATCGTTGATATCACGAGCTGTCTCGGCAGCTTTTCGGCCTAGTTTGAACTGGAACAAGAAAATCATGCGGATTTGAATTTTGTCCATGCTGTGGAAAAGCCTGCAAAAAAATGAAAGAAGAGATTGAGAACGGTAACGAATAACACGATTCGATAGAGCGAAAAACGCACTTCAAAATGATATATAACATGGCTATATATATCAATGAATTAATTCAGAAATCATATAGAAATGTAACATATGTGAGAAAACGACATTATTTTTGCACCAACCTAATAGATACATGCTGAGATTTCTTCCTAGCTAACAAAATAAGCTACTTCTTGATCTCATCTGCTGTATTTCTATTCTATCTTAGTCAAAACACTACAATTGCTTGTCTATATCTCTTTTTGTGTGTTAACACCATCTTAATTTTGTGAACTTTTGCCTCATTACTCTTGCTTTGCCTATTTTTGTCTTGCATTTATTGTTTGCTTAGTATTAACTTTTGTCTTGTTCTTTTCTTTCTTTCTCTTCGTTCTCTTCTTTCTTTCTCTTTTCTCTTCTTTCTTCTTCTCTTCTTTCTTCTTTCTCTTTCTTTCTTCTCTTCTTCTCTTCTTTCTCTTCGTTCTCTTCTTTCTCTTCGTTCTCTTCGTTCTCTTCTTTCTCTTCGTTCTCTTCTTTCTCTTCTTTCTCTTCGTTCTCTTCGTTCTCTTCTTTCTCTTCGTTCTCTTCGTTCTCTTCTTTCTCTTCTTTCTCTTCGTTCTCTTCGTTCTCTTATTGTTTATTGCAAACTTTGTCAATTCCCTTTGTTGGGCATTTCTGCAAATTATATTTAACAATGGCCATTTACTATAGAATTTTGATCTGAAATTTTCATTGTATAATGTGCAATTTTGTAATTGATATTCCTCACTGAAATAAGTAATTGCAAAGGAGATGATTTAGAATTGTTAAAATAAATACTTTTTTCTTTCATCATGAGGCTACAGACTTATTGATTTACTAATTTATTATCATTTAGGAAAGAGAGGTCAAGTCAAACACCCTTGAAGGGATTGTCTCTATTGATTGAAAACTGATTGAAGATTTTTTTCTGTTGCCTTAATTGAATGAATCTTTGAGGTTTAGCCAAAATCAATTTTTAGCTACTTGAAAAATCTATAAAATTATCTTTCTTCTTATTTAGTAAAGATATGCAGCAGTTGATTCTGTAATGACTCCAACTTGACTTATGGCTTTTAATTGAAGTTGGTTGAAGTCTTTAAGCAGAAAATCCCTTCCATTAAATTCTCTATTCAGAGAGATACCGTTCGTATTTTAACTTCAGAAAATTGCAAATCTATATTTACATCATGGAAATATGCATAACTGGAATTTCAGTAAAACAAGTTTAAAATATATTTAGAATAGGGTTTGCAGTTTGAAAATTTATAATGGCAGCCTGCATTCTTAATATTTATTCTTTGTCGTCATACCTACGTATGTTTTTATGATTGAGATTGGGCACAAGTGTTGAAACTAAAACTGTAAAGCATTAATGTCTTATTATTATTCTGAATTTGATTGTGTAGTTTATTGATTGGTTCATTCATTCATTTTCTAAGGCTTAGCAACTCTTTGCAGATTATTCAACACCAGAAATTTTTTTTTTCTTTTTTACATTGTAAGAATTTATTTTTAGAGATAATAATTATTTAGTAATAAAATTCTTACTAATTAACCCATAGCTGGGGGAGAAGTGGATTCATATTTTTCTAAGCGGTACTTGCACATAAGTGAATATAACGAATCTGACTGGAATTGGAACTCTACTCTCTGATTCAAAATTCTGAGCAAGTATCCATTACAGCACCTGGCATTCCCAAGCAGTTACCCATCTAGGTACTGACCAGGCTTGACATTGCTTAACTTTGGCAATCATATGGAAACTGGTGTTTCGGTAATGTGATGTGGCTATAATGTGGATGTATATTTAATCTATGAACATTTTTATCTTGTAAAGGAAGCTTTTTTTCTTTTTATTATTGTTAAATGGTAACATAAGTAAATAGCAAGTAGATATCCCAAGTTGATATGGATTTTTTTTTTTTTTAAATAAGATTGCTTTTTTTTTTTTTTTTTTTTTAAAAAAACAAAGAACTTCGGGGTAATCAAGTTGCCTTGTTCTACATAAATGGAAAGTACTACTCACTGAATCATTACTTTGAAGGAGGAGGAATCTGTTGTCTGCTTCTTCATTCATTCCTTTGAGAAGGTTTTATATATATATATATATATATATATATATATATATATATATATATATATATATATAAATGTCAATGAAAATATTTAAGCTCAATTCACAAAGTGGAATTTGTTGTTGTCTATATAATCTTGGCACAGAAAATAGAATCAGTAGTAAATTTCAAATTTTGGGTGTCTGCTTGTGTTAAATTAGTTGGGAAATTTCTCCCTGCACTCCCTCTCATTAGTAGATATCTTCTGAAAACCTGTCAACAGAAAAGAGATGGTTAATGAGCACTTAGACATACAACTCACGCACAACTAAATTACTGCCTTAACATCAGGGTTGTCAGGATGGGCTACACTTGGAAGCCCAGCCATGCAGAACTTTGTACTATTTTTATTTTTTAATTTATTAAACTAGTTTAAGTTGGGTCGTTAATGAATAAGTAAATTCAGAATTTAATAACTGTGACGTCAAATGTCTCCTAATCTGGAAATGTTGTTAAGCATTAGTATCAGGATGATGATAATTGTCTGTGTGACATCCAAGCCACTATTGTCCCAGCTATCATTGGAGTCTATAGCATCAAACAAAGTCCTACAGTGTGGAAAATTGGAATAAAGTAGTCTGTCACTTTTAGAAGTCTGCCTTGTTTGTTATTGCAAATACTCTGAAAGGTGCTGTTTCAGGTTGTGTGACCATTGAAAATGAAAATCCAAGCTAAACAAGAAAGCATAATTAAAATAAACTTGACAACACTTAATAGTGGCCAGTTAAACTAGTATATAATTGACTGTAAAACTGGTGTGTTTATCTTGTAAAAATTGTTTCTTTCTATTGACGTAACATTTTTTTTAAAAAATAAGAGTATCAGCTTGCATTACAGTCTAAGTAATCAATAATCTATAGATTCACTCTCGTATATTTTGGGTTTGGTTAATTTTCAAACTATAATGGTTCTGCTGCTATTTTCAATGGTTTTGTGATTGTGCTTGTTTATTAACTCTTTCCCAATTAAGCGTTGCCAGAAACAAGTGGATATTTTATCTGCAGCTTGAAGAGCAAATTGGAAAAGTGCAGCATAAAAAGGAAAGGCTCAATTACATATTTAGATATTTTGGATTATTGCTTCTTCACTCGTTAAATGTATGACTCACTAGTTGGGGCAAGGACAAAAGGAAGCTTATTTAAACTCTCTCTCTATCTGATTTTCTTTTAAGTTCTGGTTGTATTACAAGTCAGATATTAATAAGCATAATTTAAGTGACATGAAACCATGATGAGTCTGTATTTTTCAGTTTTGAAAGAATTGATGGTTTGTTTAGACTGAAAGTTCACTTGGTTACTTATTTCTGTACTACCCACCCCTACTCTACACATGAAAAGAAAAAGTGGGCAAAGTTTTTTTATTTATTTATTTTTTTTACTTTTTACCATTTTTGTATTTTGTTGCCCCCCTCTTTGTTTGTTTTGAAGAGTTTTATCTACTTAGTCACATTTCAACACCTTATAAAACAGCTAACTTAATGGTGATAATGTTTTGACTCATAGACCAAAGCTTCAGTAAAATCAGATGAATGCTGTCATGTTAATTTTTTTTAACTTTATATATAAACACTCTTCTTGATATAGTTTTAAGTAGTCTGACCTGTATTAGATAAATCATTATCATTATTAATGTATGAAGAATTTAGCTGTATCAAAATATGAATTTTGCCTGTTGATAGATCACTATGGTTTAATCAGTACATTCTGACCATATCAGACAGAATCTTGTCCTGGGTATAATGATAAACTACATCTGGCAGCAAGGCCTCTGATCGGGAGATTGAAGGTTTTGAGGAGCATAGAACCACCTCTTAATTGCTGTTCTCGGGTCCACACTAATCCGGGATAGTAGCAACTGTTAGGCTCCCAGCTATGGGTAAATAGTGAACTCCCAAGTAAAAATCAACAGTACATTTTTTATAGTAAAATTACCAGCAATACATTTTATAATCTACAAAATATATATCTAAAAAAATATACCTTTACTCAGAAAATATAAAATTATGTACAAGTATCTATAGTCAAAAGCATAAAATTACGTACAAAATATTTAGATTTTGGCATTAAATAACCCCTAGTTTGATAAACAAGATCAACCAATCAGACAGAATCCTGAGTATATGAGATGTGAGTTCAAATTGTTGGAAGCTAATTCTTTATTTGAAATCTATATGAATTAATGGCTAGAGAACATTAATGATTTGAGAATTTGGGATTTTACTAGTTTACTTGTTTCATCAAAATATGTGGACAATATTGAAGTCATTTTGTAATTGCATCTTACTTACAAAATCTTTGACATTTTCTTGTTTGTTCAATGCATCTTGAGTTTTAAAAGTGAGAAGAACAATTGAACATTTACTTTGTTGTCTTAACATTGTAAATGATAACAATTGAAATAAATGAAGCTATATATATATATATATATATATATATAATAAAAAGGCTTAAACACTAATATTCCATGGTCATAATTTATTCCAATGGAATCGTAAATACAATCCAATTCATCAGACCTACAAATTCAAAAAGAAAACAGAAAAAACAACTCCGGAAATAAAAATAGAATTTAGAGAGAGTGTAAGTATGAGAGTGTGGGACGAATGTTAGAGCTAAAGAGAGGGGTAACAGACGAGAGAAGGTGGAAGATTAAAACTTAACAGACAGAAGTTTTAGAGAGGGGAGTCAAAGACGGTTTAAATGAGAAAAATATGAATGTTGTCGGATGTCTAATACATTAAAGATGTAACCGGAAAGGATACATTTTGTGGTGACATACACACACAATAGACGATCTAATCTTAAATATCAGAAGAAGAGGGAGGGAGAGGAAAAGAAAAGAAAAAGGGGTGGGGGAGAGAGATGGGGTGGGGGAAACTAAAACTGAAGGGCTGCTGTGTAATTAAGAAAATTTGACAAAATTAATATCGACTACAGGTTACAAATCAAATATGTTTTGTGGTACAAAACTGCCATAAAAAGACAAAAATTATTTTTATTACTACTCATGATGATAATAGATAAAAAGTAAAACTGAAAAACGGGCTAGCTAACTGGTTTTGAACCTCACTAAATTGAGGTTATTAAATTAAAAAGAATTATCTCTAAAAAATGGACAATATGTATTGGGGGACAAAGAAGGCAAAAAAAAATAGTGCTTAGATGGAAATTGGTTGGAGGCAGAGTACAAAGTCTTCCTGTTTACACAGCGAGGATTTCAATGATAAAATATAAATGGCCTCCAACACTTTCAAGTGGTAATTCGAGTTCTATTATCATCATGAGTGGTAATAAAAATAATTTTTGTCTTTTTTACGAAAGTCACACACACACACACACACACACACACATATATATATATATATATATATATATATATATATATATATATATATATATATATAAATGCAAATGTCAGTGTGTCATTTTGTCACACTTTTCCAACTTTACTCCTAGAGGCTGTAGTCCAATATATAGCATTTTGGAATCAGGCTGACTCTGAGCAAATTAAAAAAAAATTTGTACAATAACAATTTTTATAACTTGGGAATAATCAAAATTAATTGTGAAATTCAGTAAAAATCACCTAATGAAATAAAAATAATTGTTTGTATGAAAAGTAAGGACCAATCTGCATCAAATTGCCATTAAGATATATGGCAGCAGAAGAATTATTATGGAACCTTTTAAAAGGTAAGCTTAATTATTAATGCAATAGTTAAATGCAGCAATCAATTTTGAGTTATTTGGTAGTTTATTGTTGCCTATTACATCTACTCCTCCCTATCTATTGAGATGAAGACCCAGTCTTAGAGCCCTCTACAGGAGCTAACTTAAATGCCACCTGATAGGGCAGCTTTTAAGCTTGTGTGAGTGAGAGAGAGAGAGAGAGAAACTGCAATCGTTTCTGGTTATAATGTGGATATTTTTTTTTTTTAAATATATATATATTATACATTATTTTCTATATTTTTGCTACAAGGGTTTTGGTTCTCACAACCTTCATCAGGCAAAGAGTGGTTAATTCCACATATTATTAAAAGAAATTAATTTTCCTTAAGTTTTCGATGTCTAACCATTGTTTTTATCTGTAGTAGTAACCCAAATGTTTTTCTTGGACTAGTCTCTCTTTTTTTTTTTTTAAAATATTTTTCATTGGAAATATACTTTTTTTTTTATATACACACACACATACACACACACTCATTATATACATATATATATACTTTTCCTTTATATATATATATATATATATACATATATATATATATATATATATATATATATATATATATATATATATATATATATATATATATATATATATATATATATATATATATATATATATATATATATATATATATATATATATATATATATATATATATATATATATATATATATATATATATATATATATATATATATATATATATATATATATATATATATATATATATATATATATATATATATATATATATATATATATATATATATATATATATATATATATATATATATATATATATATATATATATATATATATATATATATATATATATATATATATATATATATATATATATATATATATATATATATATATATATATATGTTGAAAATAAAAACTTTTTATTTTCAACATCATCACTTGATAAGA